AAAAAAGCTACAATCTTATAGACTAACCTCAGGAATACAAAAAAGGAGCCCAATATTTTTTTTTAAGTAGGTCGCCACAGACCTAGTCGTTTACAGTATAACGAAAGGGAAACCTCAGGAATATCAAAAAAGGAGCCCAATATTTTTTTTAAGTAGGTCGCCACAGACCTAGTCGTTTACAGTATAACGAATGCGATTATTTCCTTCGTAAATTTTAAATACAAGCAGAATAAAAATCACATTTTTTTCAGGCAACAGTAGCAGTTCAGTAGGTAAGTGGCTTGATCACATTTTTTGTTTTGTATTAGTAATGCATGCAAGCAGCTTTAGTATTACAGATCCCTTATAGGTAACGAACGTTTGCTCTCTTTATAAAGTCCCTCCGTAAGTACCATCTTGTCTTCTCACGGGAGTTTCGGGCCGGCTGGAGGAGCCCGAACCTTGTTCAAAAGGTTGCGGAGTGCTTTGGGTATCCGATGCCATAGCATCTGTGGCAGCTGCCTCCTGTATCACAGAGCCAGCCCCTTCGGCATCCTCGCTCTGTTCGAAGGACTGGTTGGATCCATTGCTTAGCTCTACGTTCACTGTGTTAGTTCTCAAGGCTACTATAGTTCCTGAATCGCTCCTCCTTTCTGCATAGATTCGCTGCTCAAAGACCTGAGCAGTGTTGGGCTGGAATTCAGGATCCAGGGGGACACTGTTTGTGGTGGAGCCCATGACCGTGCGGTACATCTCCATCCCTTCCGGCAGCATGGACTTAATCTTCGGCAGCCAGCGCTTGCGGACCCGGCGGGCGTTGGTGCACATATCGGCTGCTATAACATTCATCTCGCTTTCCTTAAAGCTCGGGGCAAAATTCTGACAATACACTGCAAAGACAGGGATACATATAGCTGAGGATTCAGAGAAAGCAATACAAAGGCGGCACAAAGGTGATCAGAGCCTCTGCCCCATCCTAGAGACCTGCCACAAGGCTTAGCATGGGCTGATGCCACCCGTGTGCCAGAGCTCTCTCAAGGAGAGACTTACAGACAAGGACTCCTCAGCTCGAGACAGAGACAATCAAGAAGGGATAAAACCAGAAGGCATAAAAATCCCAGATGGCACGGGGAAGGGGGCTGGAGAAGGACCACTCACTGCCCGGGAACCCAGCGAGCCCCAGAGGTACCAGGCTCCTGCCGGCAGGACCCAGCCTCCCGCCGGAGCACGGCACCCACGGCCGCAGCACGCTGGGATAGCCAAAAGCAGAGATGGACACAGAAAAGGTCAACACCAACTCCTCAACGGTAGATCCACTAATGGCTCTTAAAACCACGGCGGTGCAGGCACAGCTGCGGGGCTGGGCAATGTCAGAGCTGCTCTCAACCAAGCGGTGGAGCCTGAAGGACCGTCCTCTGCCCGTCCCACGCCTCATGCCGGCCACTGCAGGGCCAACCAGCGCTGCGTGGACCACCGGCCCAGCCGGCGTGGCTGCTCCAGTATCCCACCAGGAGCACGTCAGCTGGCACGTGCCCTGCAGAAGCGCAGCAGTACCTCGGCTGCAGCCCGGCTCCTCCATGGGGGCCGAGCACCTGATGTTATGGAGCAACATCATCACACTGCCATGGTGAATAATTATCAACTAAAGCTTGTGCACGGGATATTTCTCTGTAAAATTCAGGCAGTAAGATGTCATCTTATGCCCTGACACATGACACGAGTGTCGTAGGCACGGTCACTGGCCAACGACGCCTTTCCAACCTCTGAAACTCTCTGCAAGCCTCAGCAAGGACCAAGGCTGGAAGGTCCAGACCCAGGGCTCTCCAGGGTGCAGCTGCTAACAGGGAGGCTCTCTCAGGGGAGCACCACGCACAAGCTATGGGCAAGCACCACCAGCACAGTCCAGTGATTTTGTCTTTATGTATTGAACACCTGCCATCTTATCCATTTTCTCCACGTGCTACAGATCTCAGGGGGTGGCTGGAAGGCCCCTGGAGTTCAGCAGCGCAGCAACAATTAGGGAGAGGAAAGATTTATCTTCCAAATCTTAAAAATAAAAAATAATAAAAAAAATGCTTAGAGTTTCATTTTCCAGCGCAATAATATTTATATAAAGATTTACTATCCAGAATCCAGCAAGGATGAGAGAACACATTGCTTTCCACTGTATATCAAGCCCACGGTAAACAGGCTTCGCTGCACTAACCCATCAGGGTTTCCTACACCACCCAGGTCCTCACTCACCAGCAGGCACCTTTTGTCCCACAGCACGCTCCTTCTACTCAAGGGTGACTGCAAGAGCCAAATATTTAACCATTTGTTTCTAGTGCCTGCCATAAATAATTAAACTACCCTGATGGAAGTAACAAAACTCTCCTTTTCTTGTATAAACACCAGACGTTGGGCACAGACGTGCACAGGGAAGGGCCATCCGTCAGGGAGCCCTGCACATCCCAGCCCTGGCTAAAGTTAGGGCACTGTGTAATCGTGCAAACACGGGGGATCCTACCCGCAGGACAGCGGAAGGGGCGTCAAACAGCCGAACCTTTTGTACCCCCAGCTCTGAGACAGAGCTCAGCAGCTTTACAGACAGACAGACCGACCAGCCGAGCCGCGCGGCACGATGCAGAACTTTGTGTGGAGTTCACGTGTTGAAAACAAAAGCTCCTGTTGCTTTATGCGATCTTTTAAAAAGGCAATTATTTGCAGCAGGGGTCCCCTTGTACGTATTTTTTCAAAAAAAAAAGAAGTTTACAAAATATATTCAAGGAAACAGACTGCAAACCTAACAGAAAGGCTGCCAGCGAGATGGAGAGCAGATCCTCCCACGCTACCAGGGCTGAAGCAGCCAGTGGATTCCCCGATTCCTGGGGGCACGTTTACTGCTGAAGGCCAACAGCCCCAAAAGCGAAGGGCACCGCAAAGCACGGCCGCTCTCGGGCAGCACCACGGCGCAGGCACCCCCGGGCCGGCGAGACGGGCGGAGGGCGTCTCCGGGAGATGGATTGGAGCCCGTACGCTCGCTCCCGTAAACCAGGGGATTTGGCAGGGCCCTGCACTCAGATGAATCCGAATGCAAGCCGGAGCCCTAGGGCATAAAAGCCAGCACAGGGAGATGGCCTGTTTCAGTGGTATCAAGCTCTGAATGTTGCCAAAAACGTAATTTCGATTTCCTTCTTAGAGCACCTATCAATAAAATAATTAACTGCGAAATTAGTGCTTTAAAATATAGCAAAATAGTCAAGTAGCAATAATGTTTTATATTAAGATACTGCCAAACAAATTAAAAAAAAAAAAAGCACTTCCTCCCCCCCAATTATGCAAAATAAAAAATAAATTAATGTTCCTATAACCTAATTTCACCATATATAGTTCCCGTATTACTCAACAGAGACGGCCTTCCCTGCTTAGGTTTCAGCTTTGCTCTCGGCATGCTGTTCCAACAGAGCAGCAGTAAATCTCTCTCCTTACATTTGACTGCATTAAGAACCCTGCTGTCCAGGGGCTTCCTGCTGGGATCGCTCGTGGAGGACCGGATTCCAGTTCCGCAGCTGTTGGCAAGCGTGTTCCTGCAAGAAAGGCAAAGAAGGACCCTTACACCGGGGACGCCAGGGGACAGCGCATCGCAAGGGGACACCGTCCTCTTCCCTTCAGGTTCTTACGGAGGGATCACCATGTTACATGATTTTAAGGCAAGGAATCGGAAAAACGGGTGCTCAGGTTCAAGCATCATTGAGAAAAAGCACAGAAGTCAGTGCAGCATATACAGAGGATGAAGCACTCACGACACGTTATCTATTAAGGTGGTTAAAACACCGGAAAATAAACTGAATCCCTTGGGAGAGCACAAAGAGCACGTACCGATCAAAGAAGGTGGCCAGAAGACGTCTCAGAAGGACCTTGTGTTTGACACCGGCACATAAGTGGCAATTCATCAGCTGCCCCCGGGTGATGTAAACACCTGAGCCTGGAAGGGTTGGAGAGGGAGAATTCAAAATTAAAGCCTTGCCTCGCTGACAGCACCGCCGCCGAGGCACGAACAAACCGCTCCTCCTGCGCTGGTCGGTCCCGACGATGGTGTGACACGGGAGGGAGCGTGCTCTTCACACAAAAAGCCCAACACGGACGGCAGGATTTTTGGAAAAGCCTAGCAGGGACTGTTATCGCAGTCCCTTGGGGTCTTGGCAAGCCCCAGGTAATAATAATTCCTAATTTTATCTGTACAGAAAGGAAGTCTGTGGAAATCAAGTGAAAGGACTCTTTTTTTTTTTTTCTTTTTTTTTTTTCAAAGAGACACAGTGCACGGCTTTATTCTGTGGTTTTATATGTACAGATCAGCTTATTTATTCTTTCTGAAGGAAGAAAACCCCACTCCATTTGGCCTTTTCTTTCTGAAGTGAAAGACCGTAGAACACATAACTAGAAAGGAAAAAAGCCCGTCTAGCACAGAAAAGGTACTTGGTCACACTACAGATCTCACTGTTTCCAAAAACCCCAGTCCATCACCTCTTGATACTTCTGGTGAGCAGGGAATTTTCCTTCTCATGCACAGGAACTGCTGACTTTGAAATACCCTGCCTTTAAGGATGTTCTCTGGAAGAAAAAGGAGCCCCTGCCAAAGCGGCTTCACGCGTCCAGGGGTTTGGCAGTGCTTTACAGCAGTTTTCTTATCAAACACTTGTACTTTGCACATAGCTCACACAGACCAAACCGCTCCTGCCTCAGCATCGGCTTGCAGGGGGAGGTTACTCTATTTTTCAAGCGTACTGTTATACGAGAGGGTTTTGGTATTTGCTTTTAATTAAGATTAAATAATGGGTCGTATCTGGATCCAGAACACGCTCCGTTCTCAAGATGTAAAAACATCTACTGGAGAAATAAAATTACCTCCTGGATTTCCAGGAAAGCCTACGGATGATTGTCCCTGATCTTCCGGATGAGGACAGAGCCGCAGAGCAGCCCACGCAGGCGGGC